TTATGCACAAGCTTATTTACATATATATAAATGAAATATGTTTTCTTTAGTTCAAACAATTTCTCCACCCCAAATTAACCTAAAAACAAACGGTAATTTCTTATTGTATTGCATTTTTGATTAGTAGTTTTGACAACCTATCTATCATATATTATCTATCTATATATTTTTATATTACTTTAGAAATAAAGTTTGATGATAACTGTCCATCAGATGTTCCGTTGGTTACTTGTTCCAGCAACCCTTGTGAGGCACATAAATGTGATAGTTATCCGAACGCAGAATGTCATGTTAATTTGTGTGGTACATGTGAAGCAAATTTTTATGTAAATGGTCAGCAAGTACTATGTAGTAAGTGTTTAATGATTTTTTAAAAAAGTTCTGTGTGCTAGTGATTATATATATATATATATTTAATTTTATATTTAGATTTACTGTTTTTTTTTAGTGGCTGATTTTGATTTAGTATTTTGTATACAATATTTTGTTAATATCAGTCACACTAGTATATATATATATATATATATATATATATATATATATATATATATATATATATATATATATACACACACACACAAAAAAATTATATACATTTATATATATATATATATATATATATATATATATATATATATATATATATATATATATATATACACACACACAAAAAAAAAATATATACATTTATATATATATATATACACACACACAAAAAAAAAATTATATACATTTATATATATATATATATATATATATATATATATATATATATATATATATATATATATATATATATATATATATATACACACACACACACACACATAAATAAATGCAAATGAGTAATATATACACTCTGAGCAAATCCACCTTCTTAAAAAACACATTCATTTATGCTTCATTTTTTTAAATAGAAACTGTTTCTTATAGACACTACTCAGACAAATGATCAACTATCACAATGTTTTAAAGAACGTCAAAGAATTATTGAAAACAAAAATTTAAACAAATTTGTTGTTGATTGTGATCAAAATGGTGCATATAAACCACTGCAATGTTGGCCTTTTGTGGGTTTATGTTGGTGCGTAAGCGAAAATGGAGAAGAAATGTTTGGAACACGAAGTTATTTTCCAAATAAACCTAAATGTGAAATTTTAAGTAAGAAATATATTTGTTTAAATATAAATTGTTTTAATTTATTAAGTCTTCTTATTTAATTTATTAAATTTTTATTTCTATTGCATTTTTTATTTTATTGTTAAAAAAAAAAGTTTGATTCTAGTTGAAGATTGTCGTAGTAAAGAATATGGTTGCTGCCCTGATAATAAAACAGCTGCACAAGGTTTTCATCATCAAGGATGCTCAAGTATTTTTTTAATATTAATATCATAATAAATGGTCCTAAACTTAGGAATATACTTTCAAATATCATCAGTGAAGAAATAAACACAAGTGTTTGTAAGAAAAAACTAAAATCTTATTTAATAGTGAATGATTTATCATTCACAATTAAATAAGATTTTATCATTCACTATTCTTAACCTTATTTATCATTGTGAATGATAAATAAGATTAAGAATACATATGATATATATTACTAAATTTGAACTAGTTTTGAAATATTAAATATGATTTATTCATGACATTAAATTAAATATGACTTAATTATAAAATAATATTAGATATGATTTAATTACGATATTATATATGACTTTTTAAAGACATTATATTATGTATGACTTATTAATGACTCAATATTAAATTTGTCTGAATCATGACATAACATTAAATATGACTTATATGACAGTATTAAATGACAGTATTATTTTATGCTAATTATGATAAACTGTAAACTTAGATTATAATTGATTATAAAATATATATAAAAGATTTGAAAAACTTGAAACTAATTATAACACACTGTAAATTAGTTATTATTTACAACGCAATGTAATTTTTTATAAATTTAATGAAAATTAAAAAAAAATCTGGATGTTTAATAATTAAAATGAAAAGTAATAAATTTCCGAAAAGAATTGATCTTTTACTAAAGTTCAGAGGTTACCTTAGATCATTGTCTTTTTTTTTGTCATCAATTTCAGATTTTTGTCATCATTGTCAGTTTTCTGTCATCATTGTTTTTTTTTTATTTATTTTACTTTAACTTTTAAGCTAAAACATTAGGTAGAAAATAAATAAATATTAAATGAAAAAGAAAATAGAAAGAAAAAAAAAGGAAAACAATTAACCACAATAACAGTAAGATAGTGAATGATTGAGATAAATCTCTTACATAAAAAAACTACTGCTTTTTTACTTTTTTTTTCTTGGTATTATATTTTTTTAACAATATCAAAAGAAAATTTAAGTATTAAATGCATAATTTTTTTTCCTTAGATGTGATTAAAAGTTGTCAAGTGTCGTTGTATGGCTGTTGTGATGATCAAATTACATTTGCAAAGGGACCAAATCAAAAAGGATGTTCTCGTAAGTGTTTATAATTTCATATATAGATAGGGGAGACCGGGGCAAGTTGCCTCTGTTTTGTTTAGCTGTTTCTTTTTTCAACAATTTTAAGCAAAAAATTTAATATTACTTTTAGCTGGTACCAAATATTAGTACGTACAACAGCCAAAACAGTAACCCATTTTTTATCTGTAAAAAAAAAACCTGAAAAAAAAATTTTTTTTTTTTTTAATAAATTTTTTTAATATTTTTAAAAATCAAAAAAAAAAAATTAATTTTATAAAAATATATATTTTTTTTCATAGTAAACACTATGAACCAACTTACCAAGAAAAAATCTTGCCTACTTACCCCAAAAGCTTTTTTTCAATAAACAGTCTATAGATCCTGAAAAATGGTAACTATTGAAAAAAAAATCTGATTGGAAATAATAAAACCAATTGTGACTGGAGTTTTTACCATTAATTTTTTCTATACGACCAACTTTTTTCTTTGTAAAGTAAAAGGAAGGAATGTTCCAAAAGTTACATTTTTGTCCAAAAAACACATAAATCCTAATATCTCCTATGCGAATGCGGGAATCCTAACAATACAATAGTGAATGATGAAATTAGGAAGTCACTTAGAAAGATTCTGTGTAATTTTTGTCACTTTCTGATGAAAGGCTCTGAAGATAAACTTACCCCTGCTGCCAACTAACGCCAGTCTCCCAGGGTAATATCTAATAGGGCTATTAGATAATTCACACCTCTTAAACTGAAAACACCTTTGAGTGTTTTTTTTTTTGTTGTTTTTATTATGGACCAAATAAACCTTTTTTTCATTTTTGTTAAAATAAATTTTAAAAAAACTTAGTTTGTTTTAATTTTTTTTTTTAGTTGATTTAAGTTTTAAACTTTTTTTCGTTTTGAATTTCAAAAATTTGAATGTAATTCAAGTTTGAGCTTTACTTTATTTTATATTAGCAAGGAATCATTTTTTGAGTTAAAATCTTTGAAAACAGTAGTTTCTTATAGTAATATTAATTTATTACAATTATTTGCAGTAAATAAAAAAAATTTACTTTACAATTTACTACAAGACCTAGATTGATCTACTTTTTTTGTTGGTTATACTAGTGTCCTTGTAATTATTCAAATCAAAGTTATGGTGCGAGAGGTGTTGTTTCATGCAAATATTTTATACTTTCTTGAATCACTGCATTTAGTATCATCTTTTTAAATAATTTTAAGTTAAAAAAAATGTTTTTCATAAATGTATATATATATATATATATATATATATATATATATATATATATATATATATATATATATATATATATATATATATATATATATATATATATATATATATATATATATGTATAATTGTATTTATTTTTAGGTTTGGTTTCAAAATGTGAACACCTCAGGTCTATAACTCAGCAGATTTTTTCATTTCAACCTCAATGTGATAACCAGGGTCACTTTAATCCTATTCAATGTTGGGACACTTTGGATCAATGTTGGTGTGTAAATAAAGATGGAATTGAGCTCAAAGGAACAAGGTTAAAAGGAAAACAACCAGATTGTTCTGCAGGTAAATTTATTAGAAAATTTTATATTTGAAGTGTTTGTAAATAAACATTTTTATTTAAAGTATTTTACATGAATGTAAGTATATATATATATATATATATATATATATATATATATATATATATATATATATATATATATATATATATATATATATATATATTTGAAATCTTTAATTTTTTAAATTATGCTTCTTAGTCAGGTAATTAGTTATAAAATTTTTTTATATTTCTATAAATTTATTTTTTAATTCTATTTTGATTCTCAGAGAGTGTTGCTACGCCAAGTTATAATTGGTTTGTTTTTGATGGTCGAAACTAAATTTTTGTCGCTGGTATCTTAGATTGTTTTACTATTGATGTGATGTTCAATAAGTTTCCTCTCAATCGAGATTTGTTAACAGATGACATTTTTATGTGCATAAAAAATTTTATTGATAATGAGTTGAATTGTTTAATTTTGACTGTTGCATTTTTTTTTTTTTTGGTTGCTGTTGTATTCGGATTACCATTTTAGGTGTAGACTTATTTGTCAATTTTGTACAGAACTATTAGTCATGTTTGTTACTTATTTGTGTGTTGCAATCAAATAACACTAGATAAATTTGATGAGAACAATCTAAAATTAAATGAATTTTTATTCAAATCTATGTCTATCTTTGTTGTCAATTTATTATGGAGTTGAAATTATTTTTTAGAGAACCATAATAACAGCCCTAGGTTTAAAAAAAAAAAAAAAAAAGCTAATTGTAACTAGGGCCACTAATTTTTAAACCTTTTTACATGATGGCACTTTATAATACATGTCATTGTATTAATATATATTATTTATTATATTATTACTTATATATACTTATTATATTATATTATATACTTCTATTAATACATATGTTAACCTATTTTATCATAAAGTAATTAGTATAGAGATGTGATCATATCATTTTCACCATTTCTAGACAAGTCTAGGGTATTGAAAGAATCAGGCCCTAGGCTAACATAAACTTCCCTTACACACACATATTTGCATAAATATACATGTATTAAAACACAGTTCTAATAATTGTTTAAATAAGTTTCAGAAAACTTTACAGAGTTTTAAATTTTACTTATTTTTTAGTTGTTACTAAAATAAAGCTAATTTTTTTACAGTATTTTTTATATTTTGTTAGTTGCCTGTGAAGATAAGAGTAATGATTGTTACAGATTTGCAATAGTTCCTGGATTTTGTTTTCGATTAAAGCGTTACATGACAGAATATTGTAGGAAATCATGTGGCTTTTGTAAAGGTGTAAATTGTTAATTATTATTTTACCTCTTGCTTTTTTTTTATATTTGATTTAGTTATTATATTTATCTCCTCAAATATTTATCTTACAATATAATTCATCAATATATAATACATTTTCTTATTATATTATATAATAGTTATGCTATATGATATTATTTGATTTATTTGTTCATTATATATTATATGATATTATTTGATTTATTTTTTCACTATATATTATATGATTTTATTTGATTTATTTGTTCATTATATATTTGTTATCTATTTTTTTATCCTCAAATATTTATCTCTTCAAATGTGTTTTGCTATTTTTGTGAACAGTTTACAAAAACAAGGTCAAAAAATGTTTTGTGGAAGCAAGATGTTCTATCGAATCTAAAAATTAGACATTCCTTTGTCAATTTCTTCCTATTGCACAGCCCTGAGCTACTTGTTACCACTCCCCCTAGAAGAGATCTGCCATCTTCAAGAAAAAATAGCAAGTCCAGAAGATATTGGAAAATTAAATTATAGTTACGCAAGTGTAGTTGAGAAGATGAACCCATACTTTTAACTTTAACCAGAAAGTTAATCTTATATATAATAAAACCTTGGTTTTACTCACCTTGGTTTCACTAAGTCTTATGTTGCGCTTTTCATATCCAGGCTCAAACATTCTTAAAACATCTTATTGGTTCTCACAAGTAACTTACAAGTAATTAAAAATTAATTTTTTTGAAAATGTAATTAGGTTTAGGGGAATTTTGAAATGTGACCCTAAATGCCGCAAAAAAAAAACAAAATTTAAAAATAATATTCATTTAAGTAAAAACATAAAAATTTTAAAAATAGTTATCATATTATAAAAAAAAAAGTTATTTTGGATTTTGCATTTAGGGCCACAAAAGAATCGTCCATAAATTACACAATGGTAAGTTTATTGAAAAATAGAGTAGAGAGATCTTAAGCTCTATTACTTAGAAAAACTAAAATAGCGCATTAAGTTTAATTTTCATTAAACTTAATGCGCTATTTTAGTTTTTCATTTAACTTATGGCTTAAGGGAAAACTTTTGATCTTTTTTGTTATGTTTATTAGTGAAATTTAGCATTGCGTAATTTATGGGCAATCCCAATGTAAACTTCAAACTTACAGTTGCCCTTCAAAATTCAGTTACATTTTTTGAAAACTTTAATTGAGTTGCTTGTGAGGACCAAATAAAAAGTTTTATGAATAGGGTCAGATCTTTTTGAAAGTATAGCGAGGTGGTGATGCACCCTATTATAGAGTTATCTGCGACTTTAACTGATGAGCTTAACTCAATAAAAAATTATAAAAGCATACCTACAGAATCAAGTTCAAATAATGCAAACAAATAATGCTATACAAATAAATCTTTAACTATCAAAGCTACAACAGATGAAGTTTGTTTCTATTAATATAGAACCAATAAGTTTTAATATAAATTTTGAATAAAAATGATTTTAAATTTTTAACCAAGTTTTTCATTAATTTCTTTTATTCATCAAACATTTATGTCTTAAGATGGCTGAAAGTTTCTAAAGGCACTATAAAACATTAATGATGAAACACTTGATACACATACATGTTTGTTTTAAAACTTTTTCTTTTATTTTGACTTCAGTATTTAAATTTTTAGAAGTATCTGTTGTTAAACCTGAGCCAGTGAGAAGAGGATGTTCTAGTCCATTTGGTTGTTGTTCTGACTACATATCCCCTGCCAAAGGTCCTGATGATTATATGTGTCCATGTAAGTTTCAGACAAGTTACTATTTGAATTGACAGTTACAAACTATTTTTGTTTCATACTTTTATTATTCTCAAGCTGTATTTCGTACAAAAGTTTAAAGCATGTTGAAATTATAAATAATTTTGAATTTATTTAATTAAATTTTATTATATTTATCATTTGTTCATTAGTATATAGCTCAGTGTGTTCCATGCCTAAAGTTGTTGGAGAGTGTTACGGCTATTTTCCTAGATATTTTTATAATCAAGAAACAAACACTTGTGAATTATTTGTTTATGGAGGTTGTCGTGATAATGGTAATAACTTTGTTGATATAAATGAATGTGAAGAAAAATGCTTAGAAGGTTTTCATTGCTATTGTTTTATTATTAAAAAATTGTTTACTTTTTTTTTAATAAATTGTTATTATCTATATATAATAAATTGATAAAAACAATTTTATTTCTATTATTTACAATTATTACTATTTTTATAATGGAATTGTTGTTATTTTTAAAATTAAGTTTTAACCATTATTTTGTTTTTGTTTAGAGATGACACCAACTAAAGTTTCTACAACACAGCTAGCTGAGGTAAATTTTTTTAATTGTTATACATTTATCATTTTTAATATTATAGTAATAAAAATAACAATAATTAATAACAATAATAAATAATAATAAATGTATTAATTTTTTTTTCCTAGCTTGGAATTGATATGAATGTAAAAGAAACAAACAAAAGTAAAGTTTTATTTTCACATAAAAGTTAATGGTTATATAAAATGTTCATGTATTTCTATATATAAGTTTACAACTATATATTATGTTCATGTATTACCGTATATAAGTTAATAACTATATATTGCAGCATAAATTTATTACAACATATAATATATTACAACATATATTACATAAACAACTGCTCTTAGGGTTAGAGTAGTTATGGATAATTTTTAATAAAGTTTTGTATATTTTTGAATATATTTTCATAAATTGCATGTTTGCTTTTTAGAAAATGAGCATTATTTTCTCTTCTTTAATGAAAGTTTGAAAATTTTAAATGTATATAATTTTTATTTATTAATAAGTGTTTTAACCTTTATAAACAGCTTTTTTATATTTTCTCTATTCCTTTAGGAAACAATAAAGTTGTTGTAAATTTTTTTGTTTGTTTTATAAATTTTGCAGTATTTCTTAAAATAATTTATTTATATATAAAAAAAAAAATTTAAGTGCAAATCTCAAATTCATTTAATCAAGTAATGATTTTGAAGAACTACCTAAAGATAGTTACCATTTTAAAATGTTTTCTGTAATATTTAAATGTTTGAATTTAAACAAATTAAAGTCTAATTTTATCTAAGTTTTAGTGTGGTCCTTAATTCTCAAAGAATAATTTTTCTATAGGGCACCCTTTTTTTGTTTATAATGCATACAAAATTCACAAAGAAACTCAGCTAAATCTGAAAACAATTAGAGGACCCTACCACATATATTAGTTAAGTACCAACATAACAACTAGTGAATTTCACTAGTTGTTATGTTTGTGAACTCATTCGCTACACATGGTACTGGTACATGGTACATGGTACATGGTACTACATTTTTATAAATATTTTGATAAATAACAGCTGTTAGCCATTTGTAATCAAACATTAACAGACAATCACACAATTTAAAAACAATATTTCATTAATCTGATTAATGAAATATTGTTTTTAAATCACAATTTAAAAACAATATTTCATTAATCTTAATTATTATTGAATTTAACTTTTCATTTATGCACCAATTTGCATATTTTAATGGTCTTATCAAGTCCTTGGTAATGTTTTTCCATATTCCATATTCCATTAAACAATTCAATGACTTGAAAAGTCACTAGTTCAGGGCGATAATTTAATTTCATTGGTATATTTTGCCAATAATGTGGTGCATATTGCATAACATATTGCATAACATAAACATTGTCAGTTAGATTACAGATATAACATGCATAACATATTGCATATATATGTATGTGTATATATATATATATATATATATATATATATATATATATATATATATTTATATATATATATATATATATATATATATATATATATATATATATATATATATATGTATATGTATATATATGATATGCATAACATATTGCATAACATAAACATTGTCAGTTAGATTACAGAGTTCTATAAGTTTTGGTAGAAATTATTTTCAATTTGAATAATTAAATTAGATGGTAACAAATAAAATTTATTATTTTGAAGGTGGTTAAATCTTGCTATGGGACTTCAAAACCAACTACAAAACAAGAAACTGAGTTGTGGCTGAATGTCTGAAATTCTCAGCTCTACAAAATTATCATCAAAGAATGAAGTCATGGCACTATTCTTCTATTACAAAGAGGCTATTAAACAAACTGTTCAGGAAGCATCACATACAACAACTAATGACATTCTTGAAGTGTGGGCTAAAGCTTGAATCTTAACACGATTGAATAAACATACTTAATGAATAAATTAGACAGAATAAAGACATACTGAATGACAAGTTTTCAGTATGTTTGGGTATGGTAAAGGTTATGACCTGGCAAATTTTAATATTAATTGATCATCCATTCGAAAAGAAAGGATGAAATGTAGACAAAGTATTGCAGAAAACTTGAATTGAAGTAGAATTCAACAGTTCCACTAACAATACACTGGGAACAATACAAATCTGGAACTAGAAAAGCAGAAGGGGCAGCTATTTATGATGCAACTTTAGCATGGGACATAGCTGATAAAGTCAAGTGCATGTGCTTCGACACTACTTCCAAAAATAGTGGTCCAAAAAATGGTGCTTGCATCCTACTAGAGCAAAAGTTCAACTAAGATTTGCTCTGGTTTGCTTGTCATTATCATATTTTAGAAATAGTCTTAGAGGCATTGGTTACTGTTTTTTTTGACCCTTCAAAGGGTCTAGACATCATGATTTTTAAAAGATTTAAAAGCAGTTGGGAACTTATTGACCAGTCAAAATTTCAAGCATCAAATTTTAATGACACCATGCACAGTGCCATTTTCAGTGTTGCAATTGAAATTACTTCATATGCTGATAATCAACTGCAACAGTTTCAGTTGATTTTTTTCAGAGTAATTGTGAATTGCTAGAGCTGATAGTGTTTCTGGGTGGCGTTCCATTTTGAGATTGCTCATTCAAAGTCCCAGCTGCATTGAGCCAAATAGTCCCAACTGCATTGAGCCAAATAGATTACCAAAGCTATTTATTCATTGAAAATATAGATGCTGAGAAGCCAATTCAATATGACAAAGAAAGAAGAGAAGAGAATAGCATTAGTGTGTCTTTTTACACTGACTCTATATGTCAAGGCCTGGTTAAGAGCATCGTTGGTGCCATCTTAATAAAGAGATTAATAAATACAAGGCCTGGAATAAAGATGTCTCTCAGATCACAATTCAAAAAAATTTTTTAAGACATTTGTGGTAATTTTTAGAGGAACTAATTATACTGGCTTTCTTTGATGATGAAGTCTCCAATGATACAAAACATTTGATGGTCAGTGCCTTGCAAGCAGCCTGTGCAGAACACCCTTTGAAGAGGATAACTGTTCTGAACACCCTTTGAAGAGGATAACTGATAAATCCTACACTGTTGAGCTCCAAGAACTCAGAAAACTTTGTCAGCTTTCCTCAACAAAGATGTGAAGCTCTGGTCTGTAGATGCTGGCTATCAGTTGGTATTATGCATGAGAGTTGTGAATAACATTGCATAATGTGGAGTTGCCTTAATAGACAAATATAACAAGCTGCACACAAATGATCAGGAGCAGAAACAGTTCATTCTCTTAATTAGTAAAAAACCACAACCAATTATCTGATCAAGTGATACCCTAGCAATGGACTAACTAGACAGTTTTTCTCACTTTGACAGTTTCAATGGACAATAATAATTACAATATGTAATAGTTTTTTGAATCTCAATAAAGCTGTTTTCTGTGACTGATAATATTTGTCCTAATCATTCATATTTTGCTGAGTAAATAAGTCTTTGGCTCTGTGGTAGGGACTCCTAAAATATATTTTATTTAAATAAAATTTTCAGTACAATTTCTTTTTTTATAAGTCAACCATTCAGGAAGGTGCCCCACAAGAAAACTAAAGAACTTTTTTTTATGAACAAGAACCACCCTAATATACATACTTTTTACTTCATATTTATCCTGACCTAAATAACCATTAAATCAATAAAAAAAAGCACAATTCGTTATCAATATATTGTTAATCTTATTTTGCATATAACATACTTGTTTTAATTTATTTTACTCATAAGTTACTTGATGATGTTTACTTAATTTATTTGTATTTATTAAAACTATTCTAAATTTTAGTTATTACCTCAGATGACTTTAATGTCCTTGCTGGACCATTGATAGAATGTGCAAATAAATTTGGATGTTGTGAAGATGGCATAACACCAGCATTAGGATATAATTTTCAAGGGTGTCCAAGTATGTCTTTTTATATAAAGCTTTTTTTAATGATGTGTTCTATTCTTTGTATTTTATTTAGTGTATAGATTTATTAATTATTTGTTATATATATATTTGCTTATTTTTATTATAATATATGTAATATATAATATTATAATTTTATTATATTTTATTATATAAGTAATTTTAATTTCATAAAATATTTTTATTGTTAAAAAATAAACATTTATTATTTTCATTTATTTACTTTATTTAAATGAATAATTGTTTTTATATAAATTTATGAGTTTATTATAATCGGAACTAAAACTTGTTTACTAATAATGACAAATAGAATATTAATATTACTGAAAATAGTTATATATATATATATATTTTTATAGGGTATATATCTTTTTGTGAGATGCCTCCTGCTTCTGGGTCCTGTGCCGATAACATTATTAAATACTTTTATAATCCTGAGAAGATGTTATGTGAAGATTTCTTTTATGGAGGGTGTGGTGGAAATGCAAACAATTTTGAAAGTGTTGAGTTGTGTATGAATGAATGTAATAATAAAATGATAGAATTAAAAAAACAAAATGTTGCATTAAATAATTATCAAATAGCACCTACTATTCAGACTACCAATGATCAAACAGATAAGGTGATTGAGTTATCTATGTCTTCAACTGACAAGGTTAACTCAATGAAAGATTCTACAGATACAGTTACAGGATCAAGTTCTTCACCTCCAGATGGTTTGACTGCAGATAACGTTTTATCTTCAACTAATGAACCATTAGCAAATGCAGAAGAGATTGCTTTTAGCATTTTGTCAAAAGGTTATGATTCAACAGAGAAGGTGACTGAGTTACCATTAAGTGATAAAGTTAACTATGTAAAAGATTCTACAGAATCAAGTTCTTTGCTGCGAAATGATTTAACTGCTAATGATGTCTTATTTTCTACTATTGAACCAATAGCTACTACAGAAAAGGTTGCTTTTAGTGTTTCGTCAAAAGGTTTTGATTCAACTAATAGGGTGATTAAGTTATCTTTAACTGATGAGGTTAACTCTATAAAAGATACCACAGAAATTCTTACAGAATCAAGTTCTTTAATGCTAAACGATTTGACTGCAAATGATGTCTTATCTTCAACTATTAAACCACAATCTACTAAAGAAGAGATTGCTTTAAGTGTTTCGTCAAAAGATTTTGATTCAACAGATAAGGTGATTGAGTTATCTTTAACTGATGAGGTTAACTCTATAAAAGATACCACAGAAATAGTTACAGAATCCAGTTCTTCAATGCCAAATGATTTGACTGTGAATGATGTTTTGTCTTCAACTATCAAACCACTAACTACTACAGAAGAGGTTGCTTTTAGTGTTTCGTCAAAAGGTTTTGATTCAACTAATGGGGTGATTGAGTTATCTTTAAATGATGAGGTTAACTCTATAAAAGATTCTACAGAAATAGTAACAAAATCAAGTTCTTTAATGCCAAATGATTTGAATACGAATGATGTCTTGTCTTCAACTATTAAACCACTAACTACTACAGAAGAGATTGATTTTAGCGTTTTGACAAAAGGTTATGATTCAACTAATGGGCTGATTGAGTTATCTATGTCTTCAACTGACAAGATTAACTCAATGAAAGATTCTACAGATATAGTTACAGGATCAAGTTCTTCACCTCCAGATGGTTTGACTGCAGATAACGTTTTATCTTCAACTAATGAACCATTAGCTAATACAGAAGAGGTTGCTTTTAGCGTTTTGTCAAAAGGTTATAATTCAATAGATGTGACTGAGTTACCACTAAGTGATAAAGTTAACTATGTAAAAGGTTCTACAGAATCAAGTTCTTTGCTGCCAAATGATTTAACTGCTAATGAGGTCTTATTTTCTACCATTGAACCAATAGCTACGACAAAAAAGGTTGCTTTTAGTGTTTCGTCAAAAGGTTTTGATTCAACTAATGGGCTGATTGAGTTATCTTTAACTGATGAGGTTAACTCTATAAAAGATTCTACAGAAATAGTTACAGAATCAAGTTCTTTAATGCCAAAGGATTTGACTGCAAATGATGTCTTATCTTCAACTATTAAACCACCAGCTACTACAGAAGAGATTGCTTTTAGTGTTTTATCAAAAGATTTTGATTCAACAGAAAAGGTGATTGAGTTATCTCTAACTGATGAGGTTAAATCTATAAAAGATACCACAGAAATTATTACAGAATCAAGTTCCTCACCACCAAATGATTTGACTGCAAATGATGTTTTGTCTTCAACTATTAAACCACTAACTACTACAGAAGACGTTGATTTTAGTGTTTCGTCAAAAGGTTTTGATTCAACTAATGGGCTGATTGAGTTATCTTCAACTGATAAGGTTAACTCTATAAAAGATTCTACAGAAATAGTTACAGAATCCATTTCTTTAATGCCAAATGATTTGACTGCAAATGATGTCTTATCTTCAACTATTAAACCACAATCTACTAAAGAAGAGATTGCTTTTAGTGTTTTGTCAAAAGATTTTGATTCAACAGAAAAGGTGATTGAGTTATCTTTAACTGATGAGGTTAACTCTATAAAAGATACCACAGAAATAGTTACAGAATCCAGTTCTTCAATGCCAAATGATTTGACTGTGAATGATGTTTTGTCTTCAACTATCAAACCACTAACTACTACAGAAGAGGTTGCTTTTAGTGTTTCCTCTAAAAGTTTTGATTCAACTAATGGGCTGATTGAGTTATCTTCAACTGATAAGGTTAACTCTATAAAAGATTCTACAGAAATAGTTACAGAATCAAGTTCTTTAATGCCAAATGATTTGACTGCAAATGATGTCTTATCTTCAACTATTAAACCACCAGCTACTACAGAAGAGATTGCTTTTAGTGTTTTGTCAAAAGATTTTGATTCAACAGAAAAGGTGATTGAGTTATCTTTAACTGATGAGGTTAACTCTATAAAAGGTTCTACAGAAATAGTTACAGAATCAAGTTCTTTAATGTCAAATGATTTGACTGCAAATGATGTCCTGTCTTCAACTACTAAACCACCAGAGACTACAAAAGAGATGACTTTTAGTGTTTCGTCAAAAGATTTTGATTCAACAGAAAAGGTGATTGAGTTATCTTTAACTGATGAGGTTAACTCTATAAAAGATACCACAGAAATAGTTAGAGAATCAAGTTCCTCACCACCAAATGATTTGACTGCAAATGATGTTTTGTCTTCAACTATTAAACCACTAACTACTACAGAAGAGGTTGATTTTAGTGTTTCGTCAAAAGGTTTTGATTCAACTAATGGGCTGATTGAGTTATCTTCAACTGATGAGGTTAACTCTATAAAAGATTCTACAGAAATAGTTACAGAATCAAGTTCTTTAATGCCAAATGATATGACTGCAAATGATGTCTTATCTTCAACTATTAAACCACAATCTACTAAAGAAGAGATTGCTTTTAGTGTTTCGTCAAAAGATTTTGATTCAACAGAAAAGGTGATTGAGTTATCTTTAACTGATGAGGTTAACTCTATAAAAGATACCACAGAAATAGTTACAGAATCAAGTTCCTCACCACCAAATGATTTGACTGCAAATGATGTTTTGTTTTCAACTATTAAACCACTAACTACTACAGAAGAGGTTGATTTTAGTGTTTCCTCTAAAAGTTTTGATTCAACTAATGGGCTGATTGAGCTATCTTTAACTGATGAGGTTAACTCTATAAAAGATTCTACAGAAATAGTTACAGAATCAAGTTCTTTAATGCCAAATGATTTGACTGCAAATGATGTCTTATCTTCAACTATTAAACCACAATCTACTAAGGAAGAGATTGCTTTTAGTGTTTCGTCAAAAGATTTTGATTCAACAGAAAAGGTGATTGAGTTATCTTTAACTGATGAGGTTAACTCTATAAAAGATACCACAGAAATAGTTACAGAATCAAGTTCCTCGCCACCAAATGATTTGACTGCAAATGATGTTTTGTTTTCAACTATTAAACCACTAACTACTACAGAAGAGGTTAATTTTAGTGTTTCCTCTAAAAGTTTTGATTCAACTAATGAGCTTATTGAGTTATCTTTAACTGATGAGGTTAACTCTATAAAAGATTCTACAGAAATAGTTACAGAATCAAGTTCTTTAATGCCAAATGATATGACTGCAAATGATGTCTTATCTTCAACTGTTAAATCACCAGCTACTACAGAAGAGATTGATTTTAGTGTTTCGTCAAAAGATTTTGATTCAACAGAAAAGGTGATTGAGTTATCTCTAACTGATGAGGTTAACTCTATAAAAGATACCACAGAAATTGTTACAGAATCCAGTTCTTCAATGCCAAATGATTTGACTGCGAATGATGTTTTTTCTTCAACTATTAAACCACTAACTATTACAGAAGAGGTTGTTTTTAGTGTTTCGTCAAAAGGTTATGATTCAACTAATGGGGTGATTGAGTTATCTATGTCTTCAACTGATGAGGTTAACTCAATGAAAGATTCTATAGACACAGTTACAGGATCAAATTCTTCACCTCCAGATGATTTGACTGCAGATAACGTTTTATCTTCAACTAATGAACCATTAGCTAATACAGAAGAGGTTGTTTTTAGCGTTTTGTCAAAAGGTTATGATTCAACAGATAAGGTGACTGAGTTACCATTAACTGATAAAGTTAACTATGTAAAAGATTCTACAGAAATAGTTACAGAATCAAGTTCTTTAATGCCAAATGATTTGACTGCAAATGATGTTTTGTCTTCAACTATTAAACCACTAACTACTACAGAAGAGGTTGATTTTAGTGTTTCGTCAAAAGGCTTTGATTCAACTAATGGGGTGATTGAGTTATCTCTAACTGATAAAGTTAACTCTATAAAAGATTCTACAGAAATATTTGCAGAATCAAGTTTTTCAATGCCAAGTTATTTGACTGCAAATGATGTCCTGTCTTCAACTACTAAACCACCAGAGACAACAGAAGAGATCGCTTTTAGTGTTTCATCAAAAGATTTTGATTCAATTACTGTTGAACCACTATCTACTACAGAAAAGGTTCTTTTTAGCATTTTGTCAAAAAGTTATGACTCAACAGATAAGATGACTGAGTTATCTTTGACTGATGAGGTTGACTCTATAAAAGATACCACAGAAATAGTTACAGAATCTAGTTCTTTAATGCCAAATGATTTGACTACGGATTATGTCTTGTCTTCAACTATTAAACCACTAACTACTACAGAAGAGGTTGCTTTTAGCGTTTCGCCAAAAGGTTATGAATCTACTAATGGGTTGATTGAGTTATCTTTAACTGATAAGGTTTACTTTATTAAAAAATCTACAGAAATAGTTACAAAATCTAGTTTTTCTATGCCAAATGATTTGACTGCTAATAATGTCTTGTCTTCAGCTATTGAACCACCTGCTTCTACTGAAGAAATGGTTTTCTCCGAGATCTCCGGTTCTGTAATTGCAAATAATGAATTATCTATGCCATCAACAGATGATGTTAGTACCACAGAAGATAGTTTAGTAAGCCTGTTTAAAAAATCGAGTTCTTCTCTGAATAAATTAAATTCATCATTATCATCTAGTCATGTTGCTGCTACAAGTACAACTGTTTCAACTCTTTTATCTAAAAGTTTATTTGGTGGTATAATTAAATCTGATAAAGATAAAGATAATGATGATGGTTTTTTATCTGGTTCAGAAATATCTGAAATTCATAATGATATTTTGAATACATACAATTTAACATCTTCTCTACAGCATTCTGAGTCAACTACGATGGTAAAATCAGATAACTTCAAATCAAATGTAGAGGACATTATTCAACCTACAACACCATCTTCTTTAGGTTATTGTTATTTGTTATTGGCATTTTACTTTTTATCATTTTATGAAGATTTTTTAATATAATTTCAGTTATATATATATATATATATATATATATATATATATATATATATATATATATATATATATATATATATATATATATATATATATATATATTTATATATATATATATATATATATATATATATATATATATATATATATATATATATATATATATATATATATATATATATATATATATATATTAGTAAAAACACTTATGTAATTTTCTTCAACAAGTTGTTTCACCATCAGTATGTTCATCAGGAAGAATGTCTAAATATCAAAAAATTCAAATTAAAGCAAAAATATTACACAGATACTTTGAAATTGTTATAATTAATTATGTAATAACTGTAGTTATTTTGCAACCAGGAAGTTACATTAACTACATTAAAATTAAAGTATTAATCATGAAAAGAATTTTTTAGAATTAGGATAGTTTTAGTCTGGTCATTTGTTTTTATAATTTTTTAAAAGATACTCATTTTCATGTCTGCATTTAGAAATTAATTCAGATTTTTTGTTTAGTAAATTTTCTTGATCTAAATGAGTAATAATTTCAAATTTTTGTAAACATAGTTTACATTTTATAGTCTACATAGTCTACATTTTATAGAAATGTTATTATAGGTAGGCGTAGTTTTTAGAATAGACCCGTTTAATATAAAATTAATATTTTTTTCTTTTAGTTGCTAAATATGTTTTGACAGCATAGTCTCTTTTGAGTATTTTTTTATGTTAAAAAAATTGTTTGTGGTTGACTTTTTTTCCATTCTCCCTCAGTTAAGCTAATATATTATTTCCATTCGCCTTCAGTTGAGCTAATTATTTTTATTCGCCCTTAGTTAAGTTAATATATTATTTATCAGAGTTTGTGGTGAAACAATGTATTTTTAAATAATACTTTTTGATAAGCATTTGGATTCATAGGGATTTAGCTGATTTCTTAAATCTTGATTTTCAGTGAAAAATTTGTCACATAAGAAATGCCTTATTGATTGAAACATTTTTATTCTGGTAGCTTATCACAACATGTGGTTGATTAAAAACTTATAACCACATGTTGTGATAAAAACTTGTTTTTATCATGTGGTTGAGCATTGTCATGCAGCGTTTTTATCATGTGGTTGAGCATTGTCATGTTTTAAAGGATTCTATGACCTGGTCCAGATCTTTTTTCTAAGATTTTTACATTCAATTGTTTCCATTGTAGCAATTAGCATAGTACCATTTATTAGTTTGCTTTGGTTCCAGTATTTCATATTTTATATTATACCTTTGATGTCCCACCAAACAGAAAGCATAACTTTTTTTGTATGAATATTGAAAATGCTGATAGTTGAGGTCTTGACATTTGTTTTTTATTGGTTGGAATTTCATAATAAACTTTTTATCACAATTTTCTACAAAGATTTTTTTTTTTTTTTTTTTTTTTTTTTGTATCTTGGTTTCAGTAGTTCATAATATATTATAAATTGCTGGAACCAAAGCAAACTATTAATGCTGCACAACGCTTGCTACAATTGAAACAATCAAAAAAAAAAATTTTGAAAAAAGTCATACTATTTACTACGATTTATATCTAGTTTTTCAGCTAATTTTCTTGTTGGATATTGTGGGTCTTCCTCAATTAATGCTTTTAAACTTGCATTTCTTAAGTTTCTGAGGTCTGCCTGATCAAAATTTTTTGTAAAATCGAACGTTAGAAGCAATCTTTCTATAAACAGAACAAATTGCCTCTGTCACTTTAATTGTATTTTAATCTTGTCAAAACTCATAAAGCATTGGTATAAAATATATTTTTTTAAAGCACATTTTCAAAATTACTTGTTGATATAAAAATATAATATTTGAATTTATAAATTTTGAATTTTTAATGTATAAAAAAATATTGCCTTTTCAAGTAGTATATATATTTTCTGTATTTTCATATAGAATATTTGCCTTTAAAAATACTAATTAAAATTTACTTTTGCACCAAACACATAGTTTACTTTTTCTATTTCTTTTTCTAGCTTTCTTTATTAATATATCTTTTTTTAATAAAGTTGATGATTAGTTTTTTTAATTACTAAAGTTAGCATTAAATTGTTATTTGAATTATTTTTTAATTAAATTTTTACTAATTAAAATTTAATTATTGAAATAATTTTTTTGTTTTTTGCTTATTGATGGGTTTTTTATAGTCTTTAAAATTATATTGTGTTCACTTTTAATTTTTGGTTGGCTTATTTTTACAGACTCTTCAATTTCTTTATCACATGTTTGCAAGTTACCTTTCAACAAAGGAAATTGTAGACTCATACATAGTCCAAGATATTATTATAATTCTTCATTAAATCAATGCTTATTGTTTGTTTATGGGTAAGTTTATTTTTTGTGTGCATAATTTGTGTCTCATTTTTGCTTATATATACTAAGGGGAATATCCAGAATTTTATGTGATTGATTTAAGTATCTTCAAGCTAAGTTCTAAACACCAAACTTTTTGAGCTTTACCCGGCGTCATGACCAATCTGAATGTGAGGAAAATTGCTTTTTTCAAAACAAATTTTTAAATAAATACCCACATTTAAGCAGGTAATGCGGGTAAAATGATTTTTTTCTTAAAAGAGAATTTTTTGAATGTTTCTTTAACTATTATTTAATAAAATATCTACTATAGCAGTAACAATAATGCTGTATGAAAAACGGATTATAGTTCAAGATGGTGTTATCTCGTATTGAGTTACCTCAAATCTAATCATTTAAAATTTTTTATTTTCCCCTATATAGATATTCCTTTGCCATTTTTTTGCTAATTTATATCCATAGGGTTTTTTAAAAAAAAACTATACATATATAACACACACAAAATGTATTATTATTTATGTGTTTTTATGATTATTTTCTATGATTATTATAAAATTTATTTACAGAGGATGTGGTGGCAATGGAAATAATTTCAATACTGAGAATGAATGCAATATGAAATGTTCTAATAAATCTTTAATTAGAGAGAATGACTTGAACACTAATAAAAAATGTGGTTCTTTGTATGGTTGTTGCTTAGACAATTTAAATGGTGCAAGGGGGCCTAACTTTTTAGGATGTCCAAGTAGGTTTTTTTAAAAAAACTTTTTTTTGAGATTTTATTTATATAATTTTTGAATAACAAATAAAATTTGTATGATTGTTATACATTTATTTTTTTTAGAATACAACAGTAGCTGTGATTACCCGCCTGCTTATGGGCCATGTAAAGCAAGTTTGGTTCGTTGGTTTTATAATGGGCGCAAGAAAGAATGCAATACCTTCTCATGGGGAGGCTGTGAGGGAAATGAAAACAATTTTGAAACCGAAGTTGACTGCTTGCTGCAGTGTGGAGATGATAAACAGGAATATACTGGTGAGTTTTAAGATATCATTACATTCATAGTTTTTATGTAGTTATTATTATATAATCAGTTATTAAAGTCTATGTTCTAGAAGGGCAGGTTTTTATAATGTTTTGTGTTTGTGTTGTCCTGAACTTGTATTGGTGTTATCCATAAGTGAAGTTTGTCATGAATATCAATTTTAAAAATTTATTTTGAAAATCTACAAATTCATTTTTATTCTGATGCTATTTCTTTTGGTTTTAATTTGGTTTTAACAATTTTATCAAGTTACCATTTTTAAAAAATATTTCAATTAGGAGGCACACTCTTTATTAATAAAAGTATGCAGTCTTGGTCTTGGTCTTGAGCCCAAGTGTCTTGTTTTAGTCTTGGCTTTTACTGTCTTGACTATGTGTCTGCTAATAATAAGAACAAGCTTAAATTAATTTAGAAATCTTCCAAATTAAAGCATAAAATACATCTATTTTAGTGTTTTTTTATTTTGATTAATGTTAGTAGTAGTATTTAAGTTTATATTTTTGGAGCATTTGAAAAGTTTTAAGAACCATCCATGAGCTTTTCTTTTTTTTGTTTTTCTGAATACTATAAGACTTATAATAAATTTCTAAATTAGAAACTTAAGAAGTATTTTATACTTTATAATATATTTTATTTTATAAGATATATTTGATGAATCTTTGGAAACTGTACTTTACCCTGGTTGCGAATCTGATTATGGATGCTGTTCTGATGGGTTAAATAAAGCTAAAGGTCCAAATCAAGAAGGTTGCCCTGGTAAATTTTTTTTATTAATATTATTTTTTATTACAAAACCATTAATGTAAAATGATACACTATGAAGTTAAGATACTTTTATTGGCTGACCACGTGTGGCTGTGACACTGTAAAACATTTTTTACTTTTCAGTCTACGCTTCTGAATGTGACATGCCAAATGTTCCTGGGAATGGAAATGAGAGACTTATTCGATATATTTATGACGGTTTGAAGAGAAAATGCAACGCTTTTATTTACTCTGGAAAAGGTGGTAATCTAAATAATTTTGCTTCTATCGCAGAATGCGAAAAAAAGTGTGAAAAAAGTAAGGAAAATATTTTATTAAATTTTTTATTTGCTGGTTGCATCAGATCAGGATCTTAAAAATTCAATTCTTTTTGAATTTTTTTTTTTGACAGGTTGTGAAGATTCTTTGCCGAGTTATTGTGCAGAATGGAAAAATTTAAACTTTTGTACTGATCGGCCAACTATAATGAACGAGTACTGCAAAAAAACTTGTAATATGTGTACTTAGTTGCGGAGAAAAATAAAAATAAAATAAAGTTTAATTGCGAGTTCCTACATTTGTAACGTATTAGTCTATTCGTAGAAGATTGAAAGAAGTGATTAATTTTTAGCAATGAGTTAATAAAATGCGTAAATGGAAAAGTAGAAATTTGGAACGAGAACAGATGACAAAAGTGAAAATTAATTATGTGAAAACTGTTAACTTATATGCATAGCTAAAACTAATATGTATAATTAAAACTGATATGCATAATTATGCAATGTTTAGCGTACTAATAGTAATTGCTGCAATGATCGAGACAATCATTAACTTTCTGCTGAGGTTTTCTATTTATATTTTGTATGTAAGTTATTAATCTTTCATAATTGTATTTATTAGCTAAACCTATAAACATTAAATTAAATTGATTGTTTGATTTTTTGTTTTCACCAAAATGTTCCAGAGGTAGAAACATTTCCTTAAAAAAAAGTCTCAAAAAAAAAGTAGTACTATCATTTTACTTATATATATATATATATATATATATATATATATATATATATATATATATATATATATATATATACATATATAATAGCAATAATATATTTCTGTACTAGTCTTTATATGAGTACTTGTACATTAGTTGGTACTTTTTCTTCTCGAGGTTTTTGACAATTCTATGTAGAATTGTAGCCCCACAAGTATCATTGACCTGTTAAGTACATTGGGTAGTTAAGTACCTTCTCTATCATATTATCATGCTATTAAGGCCCAATGGCCAAAACGCGTTCGTGATTGTGGTGCGTACTGACTTGTTTCGATAATGATACTACGCATTTTCATTATCATTTTTTCACAAATTATTTGTACTAGTAGTTACTTTGAAAAATACAATAAATATAGAACATATTTATCTAAAATTAAAAAAATATATATTGATTTCAAATAAGTAGCTGCCAACATCTCGAGAATTACTTTTAAAAAATCTATGTTTTATTTTTGATTTTTTAATCACTACCAAATCAAAGACTTTTTTTCAATGAATTTTTTTTTTTTCAATAAATTTTTTATGAGACAAAAAATAACATAATATAAAAAGAACTGTTGCTCTTGACAAAGACTATTTATATTTTAATATCGAGTTTTAATGGATTAAAAGCATAATATTTATAAAATTTTGAAAACATGATGTTTATAACATTTTGAAAGCATGATGTTTATAACATTTTGAAAGCATAATGTTTATAACATTTTGAAAACATGATATTTATAACATTTTGAAACCATGATGTTTATAACATTTTAAGTTATCATGTTAATATAGATTTAATTCATCTGACTTGAGTAAGATTCGATTTAAAGACAGATGCAAAATTTAATTTTACTAATTGTGAAATAAATCTGCAAAATTTAATTTTACTAATTGTGAAATAAATCTGTGCAGAGAAAACATGTACAGTTTAGCAATACCTACAAAGTGCATAATACAAATAGCATCAAAAGAATGGTTCTAAGCCTGGAGTAACTTCTACACAAAAACTAATTGGGGAGACAAGCAGTTCTATAATATATTTGCTTATATATAAGTTGCTTATCATCAGCATTTTTGTAACAAAATTTTTATAGATTTTTTAGTCAAGTATAGAGACAAAAAAATTCAGTTTGTAACCAGTCTTTTCACTCCTCATGTTAGACTGTGTAAATCTTGTATTGAATCTGTGCGTGTAAATATAAAATTCCAAGCAAATATAGGAAAAAGTGGGGCAACATGATGAATAGGGCAAGATGGGTTTTCATATAACAACTCAACAAAAAATCTTATAGCTGGGTAAAAATTAAACTGTATTTGCATCTTGTATTTTAAAACACCAACTGGTTTTTTTAAATATTATTAAAGTAATTTTAAACGTATAAGTTTACTTTTTGCGCTTAAAAAAAAATTCCTCACTTTAGGCTTCTCATAATGGATGGTGTCCTTCAAGTTTAACTTCTTTAGAAGTAGTTTTTTGCGACTTGTGTTTATTTTGTGTTACTTTAGTTAGAATTATTGGTAGTTCTTAAAATTTTATAAAATTGGAGACAAAAATTGCATAATAAGTCATCTTGCCTCGGTCACGTGCCCAGATAACAAATTTATGAATTTTTTAATTTATTATTTATTTCAAATTGTTATATTTGCAAACTGAAAGTTCATGCAGGCAATTAATCATTTTAATAACATAAACATACTGAGAAAGTATTATTGCTTCACCACTGATAGTTTTGCAATAACTCAGGCCTTGAGTTATTACAAAACTATCAAGCCCTGAGTCAGGGCTTTAAAAACTTTCGCCATGTTGCCCCACTTTTCCCTATACATCAGGGCCGATAACACGGGTTTCTTAGTTGGGGGGGGGGCATAACCGTCAATTCTTAAAAAAAGTCAAGTCTTAAAAAAAATTATGTAGAATTTTTTTAATTTTAAAAAAAAAAAGGTCGTTTAGAAAAAAAGTGTTTGGGCTTTTTTTCTAAACGACCTATTTATTTACTTTTCGTGCTCTATTATAGAGAACGAAAAGTACATACATCAACTATCAAATAGCCTGACTCGCAAGGAAGTGCTACGACATCGGCTGAGGGTTTGGTTTAGCCAGACATCAAGGTAGGCTTAGGGTTAGGGTTACGGCAAGATTTAAATTTTGTTATATTATTGTAATTAATCGTTTTTGTAAATAGATGAAGTTAAAAATGAAATATAATATAAAATAAACAAATAAAAATAACAAAAATTAATATAAAAAGTATATTTTTAGTATAAAATAATAAATTTAAATATGCACAAATAAAAATGGAAATAAAAAAAAAGTTAAAAAATATATACATAAATATGATATAAATAGTATAAAAAAAAGTATAAAAAAAAACAGAACGGGAACAACAAAACATGTCCCCGACAGTCACCAACAGATTTTAATTTTCATCTGTTATTCTTTTAAATTTTGAAAGGTATAATTATAGTATAAAGTTTCCACTCTCCCCAAAATTAGGAAGTTGTAAACGTTTGCATAATTTTCAAACAATAAAAGATAATTCGTAAAAGATAGAATCTGTCGATGAATTTTTATTTAGTAAAAAAAAATATTTTGTCAACTCATTGCTCTTATCTTTGGTGTGGGAAAAAAGAAATACTTTAAATAAAAATATACATTCTGTAAAATATTAACAGTATATACCGGTAACAGGTGCAAGAAGAAAACTTAATTTATCTCCAAGCCCCTTTTCGTAAATTAAAAAAATAAAAAAATAAACTTTCTTAATTATATAAACTAAAATAAATGAAAAAGTCTTAAAATTTCAAAACATAGTTTTTTGAGTTAGTAATTCTCATTTGATCAGAAATTTTCAGTACTTGTTCAAAATACCTATAAAAATTCATTTAACAGATCTGAAATTTTCAGTACTTTCTCAAAATAAAATTTATTTAACAGATTTTTGTAGATGATCAGTAAATGTTTTTTTTTCTCGAATCACGCCTTTCTAAAACATCAAAAAAATAAATAAAATATGAAGAATATCTACACAACTCATTGTTTAGTGGGATATATTAAATATTTATCTGTTAAATGGAATAACATAGTGTTTAGAGTAAATGTACAAAATTTCAGGTCACATGATAATGGCTAGCTTAAGATATTATGTTTTAAAATTTTGCCCAAAAACGCATTTTTTGTTTTTCCACCATTATGGTTTTAATGCTAATTAAAAAATAAAAATTATTGCTTTTTCCATTTAAATCTTTTGAGTAAACTGTATTTGAAAGCAATTTAATTTCGGAAGTTTATTTCATTTTTTTTTAATCTGGTGTTGTACCACCTTAACTGATTTCAACATTGTGGAGTTAATTGTTAACTAATGTAAACTTAACAAACTCAACGATAATTGTTAACTAAAGTAAACTTAACAAACTCAACGATAATTGTTAACTAAAGTAAACTTAACAAACTCAACGATAATTGTTAACTAAAGTAAACTTAACAAACTCAACGATGATTGTTAACTAAAGTAAACTTAACAAACTCAACGATAATTGTTAACTAAAGTAAACTTAACAAACTCAACGATAATTGTTAACTAAAGTAAACTTAACAAACTCAACGATAATTGTTAACTAAAGTAAACTTAACAAACTCAAGCTTAAGATTTTTTAGTATCTTCGACGTTCGTAATAGTTATGATAAAAGCCAGATAAAAGCATCAATATAATATATTTATCATAAGTGCAATCCTTGAAAAAAAATGTTTCTATAGGTAATGTGCCACCCGAAACCCTTTTCACCCCCTACTACCCCCTACCTACCCACCACTCACTCCTCCCGCGGCTCTAATGTATTTGATAAAATTTTAAATTATTTCAAAGCAAATAAAAAGAACAGATAATTTATAATCAAAATTAAATGTTTATTTACTGTTGGTAACAATTAATAGTTTAATTTAAAATCAACACATCACTTTACGCTTTTATAAAATGTAAAATCATTATAAAAGTTTATCAAAGATGAAAAAATTATAATAAAAATTTAAAATCAAAAAGAATTAAAAAAAAAAGTAAGAATTTAATTAATATTTAAAAATCAATGAGAGTTTTGAAAGTTTGTTGTTGTTGTTGTTGTTGTTTGTTTTTTAGACAGCATAAATAAAGGAAATAGGTAAAATTGAGATTTTTTTTAATGTTATATTTTGTTAATATTAGCCGGTGGCGATTGGTACCATTGATAATAGATGTCGATGCCGATTGATACATGATAAATATTACTATTTGATAATAGATGCAGATCTCGATTGGTTCAGGCCAATGCCGATGCACCATAAATTCCAATTTATACTCTTTTCTATTTTACTAATATGTAAATTAGGATTTTTTTACAAATATAATGTTAACGGTCAATTTTAATTCTTAAAATTGACCGTTAATATTATATTTGACCACTAAATCTTTAAATTCTTGTTGAACTGTTTTTTATCAGGATCTCTCTGCATTTAGTGTTTGTTTATAATTCAGGAAAGTAATTATACGGCTTATGAATC